TAAAATAAATAGGATCTCATTCTATCTCATTGATGATAGATTAATGACCCTGAATAGTGTACTAAATACTGCAGCACTACTTCTGTAGTACTGTGTAGTTTGTGTGGAAAATTTATAGAAAAAAACTAGGCCAACAACAATTTGTGACCTAAATTCTAAATTCACCTTTTTTTGGCAAAAGAAAGAAGTGCAAAAATGTAATTTGAAATGAGTAGGCCTAAAAAATTGTTGAATCAATTCAATTCCAAGAATTTTATGCATTACTTTAGCACTACTATTACTTTCCTTACAATCCCTTAAAAATCTCATTTAATTTACCTATTTGTTTTTCTATTCTGTTTCTTGTTTTTAAGTAATTTATACACATTTTTCAATGAATTTTGTTTTTGTAATTTACGAAGATCATACCCTGGACCTCAGGTAAGAACAGTGTATTAATAATACCTACTGAGAGGAATGAGAAAAATTCTCAAAAATTTAAAAGAATCAATTCAGCTATTCAAGTAACAGAAAAGATTTATTGGTTCATTAAAAAATTCCTCCAAAAGGTAGAAAAGTAAGTGTATATTTAAATCTACAATGGCCTCTTGTGTCATTTTTCGGAGTCACCATACTCATATTATATTAAAATATCTGGGTAGGAATATCATTCTCTTTTTTCTTTTTCTTTTTTTTGAAGGGTACATTTACTTTGAGATAAATATCTAACCAAATCCTGTTTATGTCTAAACAATTACATTAGATTGCGTGACAGTCCTCTTAAAGCTAAGTTAAATTTCGATTGTGTACGTGAACACATTCATGTTGCAAGATTTTGTTAATGTTATCTACCAAATGCAAAAGCACAGGTACTTTAACAGTACAGTGGTTCTTTTGTTCTTTGTTTCTGCTTTGGTGAAGTCAAGGCCAACACCCTGGTTTTATCTGCACCAATCATAACATGGCAGATGAGTGAATGCTAATACTGTATTGAACATCAGCGTTGTCATAGACAATTTCAATAATGTACCCATGTTGAATTTCATATCACAAATACTATTTTAACACTGAGGACCACAAGGAAAGAACTTATGTAGTGGTGAGCCCAGCAGCGTGCAGGGGTGGCATTTGCCCTCCGTCAGACAGACCTGGACCCCATGTTGCCTAACGTGACAACAACATTGCCGGATCAAAAATTGAAAAAAATAATTTGCCTATCCAAATAACATTATTTTGATTGCCAAATCCCTAATATTGTGGTCTAAAAGCAGAATTTGGACCACACTAAGCCATAAAAATCACTCCATCGCTACAGTACAGGAATTTTTTTTATCCCGGAATCTCGACCGAGGCTCTAGACAGCCCTTCAGTTCCGACCCCTCTGTTGGACATGTCGGACCCCTTTTCGGCAAAACTCTGGAACCATCATTGGACTTGCAGTGAAAATTTAATTTTTTTCAATGTGCTTGCAAAGAAATTCACACACAGCTTTGGTACCACATTACAGTCAGTTTTATTATCACTCTTTCCAGATGTTCGTCATCAGGTTGTAAAAACAAGGGGTTTTCTAGCCAAAACTAGTAGGCAAATCACACAGTAGGATTTTTAATTTATTTTGCAGGGCATATATATTTATAGGATATGGGATAGGTGTCCCATAATCTGAATAGGATTCGGAATGTCCCAAAAGCACGGTACCCCTATATTAGAAGGGATCTATTGTAAGCATGCTTCATTGAATAATTCCGTTGTACTGAAGTTGCCTAACAAAGATAACAACGCCGCATCCTGTTGCATCACATCAATACAGTGATATCAATAGGTCTATAAGTATAGCCCTCAGAAACACAGTAACCAAATAGGGCCTTCTACAGGAAACATGGTTGACAGGGGGAAGTCCTTATGGTTATCTATGGACAAGGTAAAGATAGTCATACATGCATGATCCACTCCTGACGAGGAGGAAGCTGAGTCACAAGTTCACATGAACACTAAAGTTTGCCAGGTTCAAAATAAATACTATATTTTATATAGTCAACTTATTAGGTATATATAATTATTAATTATTATATACCACATACATAGATTATAGGTATCTGATTGGCTATTCCCCTGAAAAAAATATACTTTTTTGATCTGTTGCATGGAACAAACTGTAGGCCACACCTTCCCCTCATGAGCAGTCAATATTTGTATGCTCTGTTGTATACACACCACCATTGGACAAATTTATATTTCAATTTTTTGTAAAGAGGTGTAATTAGACGATAAGGTACTGCTCCTGCGGAATGTTGGTATTTAAGTACAAACAATGGTTGAGGTTGACAGAGATTTGAAAACACTTTGAAACAAAACTATGTTTTATGGGTTATTCATTTTTTCCTCATTTCCAACATGGTAGAAAAAAATTTTAAGGGGAGGAGTGTCATCAATGATTATAAATTGGATAAACCCCTAATAATCAATTCAGGAATCTGTACAAATTACATACAAGTGAAACCAAATTTCAAGGCCCACTTGTTTTTAGACATGTGTCTCCACTATCATCAGGTCTCACTCACCTATATAGGATCTGTGCACTCACAAACCAAAAAATATGAATGGATAGAAACACAGGGAACTAAGAAACACTCTTGACTTCATGAAGTTAGAAAAATTTAGAACAATAAAAGCATTTCAGTTGAATGGATGCTGTATAAAAATGAAAACTTGACTGCCTTTGTTCAACTGTTATAATCACTATAATGGTTACTTACATGTAATTTGTACTAAGTATCAGTAAAGTCGATAATAGATTTTCTGGTTCGAAAGTATATTGAACCTCCCTCAGGCAATCCACATTATTCAAAACTTAAACAGTAACAAAGAATTGTAGCCAAGTTCATTTAATAATATGAATACAGCGCTGCTAACAAATCTGTTACAACTTGATATTTAATAGATAAATCTGCTGCACAGTAGCAACACTGATGTTACAAAATGTGAACGGCTCAAGCAAAACCAACATTTTCAATTTTTGCACCAATAAAATAAGATATATTGAAGAACATTTCTGCAAAAAAATATCAATCGCTAAATGCAACTGAAAAATATTAAAATGATTTTTAAAATATAAATCCTAATAATGAACTATTAATTTTGGAAGCTGTTTTCTCAAAACCTACAGTACATGGCTAAATAAACAATGAATTTAATATTCATAAGCTTCACTAATACGAAACTTAACCAATTTCCATCAAATAAGCACTGTTTATGCAGAATTTAAAAATAACAAAAACTCAATTTTGAATTTTTCTGACAAATGGTGGGTTTTCGCTAGAGCTGGTCACAACTATTAAATTAATGGTGAGTAAACAAGATGTAGAATATAGAAAGCAGGATACAACAGAAATATTTTTCCCAAAAAGATAAATTTATGAGATCCCAAAGAAATTAAAACAGGTGTTTTAAATAAACCAGTCACTTTCCTTCAGTTCGAGTTCTATGAATCATTCTTCAGAAAAACATGAAATATGTGGACATTATATGGTTTTAGGATAAATATATCTTTTTTTGTAATTCTATTACATAGGTATTATCCTCTTGGTTTTACTGATTAATATACTGTACTGTGCTTAAATATCACTAATTGCCATACTGTTAAGTATAGTCAATGTCAAGTATGCCCATGGGTGTAATGTTATCCTTAATTGAGTAGCCTACCCTTGGTACATCATCAATCTACATTATGTTGCCAGAGGAGATGCAGCATGTTAGGTGACATTGCAATCATGGATGATGTTTCAATACTTCCATGATATCATCCTTGTGATGCAATGTCTTTGTTTGATTCCCAATGACTTCCACTGGCACGTTCTACACATCCACGCCAGTCCCATGTGTAATAAAATATAGCTAGCACATCTTAATAGCCATTTATTAAAGGTATTGTCTAATGCAAAAAACCAAACAAAAAACCCAAAAAATAATTCTGAAATTAAGTTGCTCATTTCCAAGTAACATAAAAAAAATTATCAACTTGAACATAGAAATTAGTGTACTTAAAAAATGCTTACCATAATTTTATAGCGAAAAAATTACAGAAACTTCAGTTATTGGAAGTGTTTTATTATTTTTATCATCATCATCCCATCTATTGCTTAAAGGGGCGAGTGGATATTATCATTATCCAGTATAAAAATTAGGGAGCAAAATGAGCAAAGTAATAATTTCAAAATTATTATGATGATTTTTTTTTTGTCATTTTCAGAGGATAATACACCTTTACTGTAAGTCTCAATGAATACGGGATAAGCTCGTCTACACAGACAGGAGATCAATATTTTAATGTGAATAATTCACAAGGAGGTAAATGGTTATAAAGTTTTTTTGATATAATGTATATGAAAAGTAATTTTGGAATGATGGATATGTCTTTTCCTTATATCAGGGGTGGTGCAAGAATTTACCTGATATGGTCCTTAATAGAGTGATCCATGTAATGAAGTCCCCAGAAACTTTCAAAAGTGTATTTAATTGATTTTAGAGTTTAATAATATGTAAAAGCACATATAATATTTTCGTACCCCTGATGAATTGTGTATTTCACCCTGATGGAGAGCCAGCTCTCCGAGAAGGGAGGGGGGGGGGCGCACCACTGGTGCCACCTGTGTTATAGCCTGAAGGACCCTTTAAGTCAACAATGCTGGTTTTGTTGTAGTACTTTCAATTAAAGGTCAATAAAATTTAATAAATCAAACAAGTGCATCCCATAATTACCAATTAATGTGAAATAAAATTCATTGCTACTAGTTTCACGTCCCTACCCTCATCATATTTTGGAGCCTCAAGTAATAATTTAACATTTTTCAAAAAACACAATCTTTTTTCCATTAAAAAATTAAAATAATGATTGTCAAAATCTAAAATGCAGTGGAAACATAAATAGCAGAATATTATTTTAAAGATTCCTTTTGCTTCTTTTATAAAAAAAAACAATTTTCATTATTTACCAGCCTGTTTACCACCAGTATAGAAATAGATAGTGAACAGCAATTAGTAAATACCCTTACCAAAAAAATAATTTCAAATCCAAGATGTGAAACCAACAATTAATTTTATTTGACCTAATGCAAAGAATGAATGATTATTTAGTTCCTACATGTACAATTCTATATTAATCCCATGCTTTAGTGTAACTTTTATAACTATTATTACGAATTATAAATTTCTTCATAATTAACAACAATACTATAGAACACAATTTAGCAACTTACGATACATGCAGCCGCCCTCTCCATTTAGGCGTGACCATCCATGACAGCATTTGTATTTGGTAACATAATTGCTCTCATAAACCATACGATAAGATGTGTAATATGCAGTCCTGTATATATTATAAGAAAAAAAAAGTGTTTTCAATCAACTATAATATTCAAGAAGTTAATAACCTGAGCAGGGGGAATAGGCTAGTTTTGGTCTGGGGGAGATCTGGGGGGATCTTGGGGGCTGTCTCTCCATTAATCAAGCTGTCTCTTATACACATCTAGATGTGTATAAGAGACAGATCTGGGGGAGGGGGTTGAGAAATGACCTGGGGTACAAAAATTAAGAATGCAGAGCTAAATCCCTACTCCAACTTAATGGTCATTTTTAGTACTTTAAAACACCAACCTATAACTAATTACCCCCACCCCCACACCCCAGCCTATGCCAATGCTGGGTAGTATTGAAAAAAAACTATTAATTGTAATAATAAATGAAAAGTAATTAGCTCTACAGTATACATATTGATGAATTCAGATTTGTAGGCCTACTATGATTTTATGAAAATATGAAATACTGATGTATCAAGAAAAAATAAGTATATCATTTATGTCAGTCAGATGAAATTCAATAATTAATCATAAAATTTATGAATGTTCAGTTGGGATATTTATTTCAATGAATATTAATATCAATTAATAATGATTTATTTATTTATTTTTTTTTTTTTTCATTTTTAAGAGAGAACAAAATATGTATTTTCTGAGATCCCCTAATCCCTTTCCCTCCCCTAGTGGGCCTACCGTACTATATATAAAAATATATATTTTTATATACATTTTATATACATTTTTATATATATTTTTATATTTAAAATTATGATTAACTCCTCCCCGTAGCTTATGTTCTGTAGTCTCATGACTACAAAGGTGTATGATGAAAAAATGGTGACCTGAAAAGCTAAAAATAGACTTACAAAAGTTAGGTGTCAATTTCTGTTTAGTATCAATAACACTAAATACAAAAATCTCATTAAAATAGGCATGCTGAAAAATTTTAACAGACAGGTGCCCTTTCTGGCCTCTCTTCTAGATAACCAGGACCCATTAGGCTGGTCAATTAGCTGATGCTTTATCTCGAGCCTAAATAAATATTATAATTATTTTACATAATCTAGAACTCTTGTTACATCATTATTAGAATAGAAAAAAACATATCATATCCGTACCGTATTTGCAGTAGGCGTGCCTATGTAATACCCTCAATAATACAGTAAAAGTAGAATTAATAATAAAATAATAATTTTCCACATTTGTAAAGTGTGTAAAGTTGAGAACATTTTGAGCCTGAAATTTGCAAAAAAATAAGAACATGGAGCCTGGGAAAATTTTACTGGTTCTAATAAAACCATAATTAAAGGGATAGTAAATTAAATCCCAAAATAATACCAGGAGGTAATATTCCTGTTAAGGAAGTGAACTTGGTCAGTATGCGCTATATCAAACATCTAATTGGTTTTGATCATAGACCTCATTCTGAAAGCTCTTCCGAATTTATCACCCACTTCCAACAGCCATAATTAATCAAATTCACCACATTGTTTGGCTGTTCAATGGTCTTTAGTATATTTTGAGATTACATCACTTAGGTTAATATAAACCCAGACCAACCTCACTCCCTTCTCTATAAACACTATCCATACACTTTTTTTTTATTTTATAAGAACACTGAGGCTGAAATTGCTTAAAAATTAAGAACAAAATAAATAAAACAAATTGAGGCTGAGGTAAAATGTCAAATGTGATTTTTATTTTTAAAGACTAGAAAAACCAACAAATCGTCGCTCACATCACGAACTAACACAATTAAATTCAATTGTGTTAGTTCGTGAAATAAAAAAAGCGCGTCAAAATACGCGCTGCTGTCATTAAGGACTTTTTGTGTGGTAAAGAATACAAAATTGCTTGACAACCAATACGCGCTCGTTTTGACGCGCTACTGTGATTTCACGAACTAACACAATCTACTTTGATTGTGTTAGTTCGTGATGTGAGCGATGAAATATCTGTACCTTATGTGTGGACGCGACTATGTAAAACAGTAGGCCTACAGTAGGTGTACTGTAATTTTGGGCCATTTTTACTGGGGCATTTTTTCTGGGGCCTATTTTTCAGGGGCCATTTTTTCAGGGGCCACTTTTTCAGGGGCCACTTTTTTTAACCTACATTCTAGTACAGTGTATAATGCTGTACAATAATAATTTTTTTTATATTTGAAAATAAGAACAAAATAATAACATTTTGAGCCTGAAGTCAGCCAAAAAATAAGAACACTGCAAAATTTTCCTGGTTTAAAAAAAAAGAAAGAAATTGTATTACCTCTTTCAATAAACCTTTCGGTGCTTACTCGAGTATAATAAAATTAATAAACAACTGACTGTTATTACAGCACTAACAATACTTCGGGTTCTAGATGTATGGTACCACTGTAACATTGTAAGTTACAATAATTTTGTAACAACATAATTTATTAATAGGCCTATTTAAGTGCCGCTTCTAAAAAGCACCTTCCTGGCTAACAATATACGTTATAATAATGTTGCAGTTTAGTGATAAAAACTGTATTTTAACGTTATTATTCATTCGAGGACGTTATAAAAATATTTTGTTTGCTGGGTTGCAAATAAATGCCATACTGAGGCCTCCAAAACTTATATGGTGCTTGTTATTTACTGTAGGCCAATTAATGGTCACATTCTAGCAGTAAAATTTACAACAGGTACGCTGAGTAAAAAAAACTGTAAGTTTTAAATTAGATTAACAAATTATTTCAAGTCAGATGAGACTAAAAAGTTGTTGAAATCATACTACAGTAAATTACAAAATCACAAGGCCAGACAGTTGGTTTTACTTTTTGACCTATGCTATAGGCCCTACTGTATTCATTTGAAAAAGCAAAGAAAAATCATTACTGTAGTAATATATTGCTTAGGCCTAAGCCTACACCTACTAAACTGTTTTGTAGGGCATGTCATACATAGGTAACATTAACAACTCCCTGGTTGCCTACCATTTTCCAACGAAGTCATGCTTTGCAAAGTGGAGAAACACTAGATTTTACGTATCGTAACTCAATACCCTACTGTACATACTTCCGTTTTAATTAGGTCCATTAATCAAGAAATTAATTAGATTAGTGGAATGCCCACTTTCGGTAGGGAGTGTAGGGCATTCGAAATAGACAGTTTACATACACAGTCCCCAATGGCTTAACAGTGAGTACGCGGAACGAATGCTTACCTGCGTTCGTATCCCACACACCAGTTCGCACTGTAGCCACAGTTTGGTCGCCAAACTTTGACGGTACGTGTAAATGCCCGGACGCATGGCCTCCGATGTCCGACCATTGCTACCTCCTGATAAGGACACACGTTTGCCCTGAAAATGGAAAGCAAAAATCGGCAATTATATTTAGATAACTTGTAATTAATAATTAAGAATTCTGTGCATTTGAATATAATAATCTCCTACCAAGCACGAGCAAGAGCAAGGGTTCTATGCAAGGATACACTGTCGTCATACCGCTCTCTCCACCAATCATATTCAACAATGTATGGAAGTTAGGAAAGTTTCAGTAGCAAATGAAAACAAGCGCAAGTTTAAAGGCAACGAAGTCAGGATACAATTCTCTCTGATGTTTTGGTATTTTATTAACATTTGCATGATTGCGAGAGAGAGAGAGATGTATTTATATACAGTATATATAATTATCAATTAGCCTATGTTATCTTTATAAAACATGCATGTTGGTCGCCGATTATTGCATCCCTGTGATCCATCAAAATAACATATATCTTTGATTGCATCCATGATTTGACGTTGTTGAATATATTGCCACCGATATTTATGATAGATGGAATAGTGTAAAATATTAATTTTATTTGTAACAATTTGGTTAATCTGGTATTGATTGGTCTGCGCAGGGGATTTTGTTAGACTAACAGAGTTCTGTTTATAGACCGTCTTCCAGCCCAGAAGCCAACTTGAATGACTTAAGCTGTAGCGTGCGACGCAAACAATAGCACTGAAAACAAGCATTCTTTCATTGTAAAGTGATATAATGGGATTTACTCTGACAGTGGAAAGAATAAATATGCTGACAGCACCAATCAAGAGGTATAAAACTTACATTCCAGGTTGAAGACTTCCCGATGAATGGCCTCCAGAAATAGTATTTCTAGGGGAGGAGACACCTACGTTGTAACCCTGACTAGAACCCCCATAACCAGGGTTTACATTGTACGCAGGATTTTGTGGGGCCGCGGGTTGGTACGGCTGGTTAACTGGGGAATAAGCATTACCACCGCTGTATCCTGGATTATATCCGAGTCCAGTATTTGTCTGGGGTGGGGAATAGTCGCCGTAAGTCCTGCTGCCAGCGCTGTCTGGCTGGGTATACGTTCCCGTAGATCCACTTTTCATTTCTGCATACTGATAATGCTGCTGGTATTGTTGATACGCTTCGCGCTGCTCGTATGTTATTCCAAATACTTGGGAATTCAGCTCTAAAAGTAACACAACAATTAGTGTTAACTTTCCAAACATGTTGATTCCAATGAGATAAATATTAACTCCTAAAAAATCCACGGTCGATATCACAAAAAAAATAAAGAAAATGCCAACTCAATCAAAGTAATGAAAATTCCCAAATGGTAGGGAACTTTCTTTTATATTCCAAACAATTTCAGTATCCGAGAAATTAAAATCCACTATTCGTATTAAATTTTACAATGCAGAGGCAGCACAAACGGAGCCAAACGCAGACTGCTCGCAATGAGTTCTGCACTATCAATGCACTCCTGTTCAACTTTTATCTTAAAGCTAACTAGGAATAAGAGAGAGGGCGTACTTACATGTCAGAACTTTGCTAAGTTTCAGTGACGTCAGATGAAGGAATTTTCATTTATCAGTCGTTTCAAAATATGAAATGTTAACTGAATGTAATGTGTAGGTAGTAGCAAGGGCGGGTTCGGACACGGCTTCCTTAAATTTTGTAAACAATATCGAAAATGAAAAAAAAAAAAAAATCTGAACGTGCCATTTCCGGCCATCAGAGGTGTCATAATAATAGAATTTCGTATCTCAGCCTAAAACATGTTGGAGCCGAGGTGATCTGGACCCTCCATCTCTAAAATCATTACCTATTCAAGTGAAGTTTGAACATTCAATGCTGTGGTTATCTCATAATTTATGACAGACATTACAACTTATTAAGTACCATATTTTAAATACTACCGAATTTATTCGAAACTATTTTATATGATAGTATACAATAACATATTTTGATGGAAATGTTTTTTATTTATACATTACAGGAAAATTTAAAAAGGGCGTTTATTTCAGTAATATACATAAGCCTATCCATTTTACACCCAAAAAAATGCCTCAAGGCATTTCTTTCGAATAAATATATTATTGAGTTTCAGATTTTATCAAGTTCTGTGAATTCAATTATGTGTAATTTTGAAAAATCTAAGAAGTTTATGTCTTTGAATTTTGTAATGATTTTTTGGGGGATTTTTTTTTTGGCTAAAAATTGTTATTATATTATTGTCTAATATTTTTTAGCATAAAGATACATTCAAATCGAACATTGGTATAAAAATATACAAAAAATATTTTTTAAAAAAGCTTGGAATTAACTATCAGAAATAATAACAGTATTGCATAGACGATTATAAAAAAAAATATAAAATGTAAAATGTTAATTATATTATTTACGAAAGTAAGTAAAGATTTTAATATGCTTAGGATGGATTATTGTAACAGTCACGGCCTAAAGAAGATGTACTTATATTTGATTGTTGAATAAATGACCATTGGTCAACAAAAAAAACCCTATGGTGACCACGGAGAACTGACTGTTATACTACTGTATTGGAGGTGGTGACGCATGTATATAGCCAATAGAGGGCATACTTTATATTATCACAATTATGATAAGCAAGTACAGTCACTGAGAGAACATCAATTCGTATTTCTATTACAAGTAGCCAGTGATGGCGCCAGGATTTGCCCGACGGGGGATCCGAGGTCCCCAACGCCATGGTGGGGGTGGGCGGACGTCGCTCAAAATCTCTCGAAAGTATTCCAGGGGCGAAGCCCCGAAAAATATGGCAATTTAGGGGGTTTCAAAGGCTTATTTAATCGATTTTGGAGTAATTATATGTAGAAAATAAATACATTTTTTTTACTATTTTATTTATGTTGTGTCCTCCATCTGGATGTTTTTAGCAAAACTGTAAATAAGGAAACAAAATTGTATTTTTTCCGCCCTTTCTTTGACGATCTTTTAAAAATAAGTTCGTGTAACAGGGTATAAAAAAATTCTCGCCTTATCCGAGAAAACTTGGTTCTATCAACCGAACACTGGACGAGGAGCGGCTGGATGTTAAGGATTGGTGCATCTGTCGTCATGAATACTCCCTTCGAATTTATTCAGGTGATTCTTAAATAGATGTTTAAGCTAGTGTGTGCTCTATAAAATCGAACACACACTAAACATCTTTTTTAAAAATGATTTATATATGATCAAACATATGAATTTGTAGGCGCTCTTTAGTAGCGCGCTAGCATAAACTGATAAAACCATTCTAAGAAAACCCTGAAGTGATATATTATTTTTCTACTAATTACAACTGACTGTATTGTGATTTATTTTACAATTTATATGATTTAGAGATTAATTGTTAGTTCTTTTGATTTCAAGTGGTGTACAGTATTTAAGTGTTTTTTTCTTTCATTGTCATTTTTATAAATAGTAAACTTGGTGCTATAATTCATTTTGTTTTCCTCAAAATATACTTTCAAAACACATGTTCGCAATAAGAATACAGTAGGTTTCAGATTTATACGGGTAATTTTAATGTATGTATTTGTTGCAATTATATTGAAATGCTTCCTTCTGATGGTTTAATTTCTATAAATGATAGAAATCAAATATTTCAATCACTTAGAATGAACTTTGCAATGTATCCATGATTTCAGTGACTGAATTTTATTGTAATATGTCTCTGATTTGAATTGTTATTGGTTCCTACAACTCATGAATATAATAATATTTAGAAATATGAATTTTTTGTTTTTAGACAGTGCTATTTGCCTTATGAGTTGAAATGTAATTATAAGTTAAATACAAAATATACTGTAATTAATGTATTTAATCTGTATGTTTGTTGTTAGAAATAAATCTGTAATAATGTTAAAAAAAAAAGTACACTTGTCCATGCATTTATTGTTGGTGTTCCCCCTATTTACAAAATGGACTGTGCCAAGTCTGTTTCGCTCAGTTCGCACAAGTCTGACCTTGGAATGATAGGCTATAAAAAGCAACAATTTATTTGTTCTGTTAGGTGCTGTTTTTGGCTCTTACAAATTCATATGCCAAATTGCTGTTTTTATGTATCGCTTATCGCATAATACCTCTCCACATCAGCAATCTTTATACAAGAGCATCCAAACGTCATCCATATAATACAAGATTTTCTATTAAAAATTATCTTTTAGTACTCCGTGCACATCAATCAGTCGTTTTTCTGTCCTTTTTGGGGTCAGATTTTTTTTTTTTTTTTAAATAAGCACACATTGATAGTTTTAAATACAACCTTGTCTCTGTTATTTGTATTCTTTCTCTTTCTTTCATTACTATAGGATTAATACTTGTGTCCAGATAAGGTCATGTATTTCATATGCTGTATCACATATCATATCGTATTTAAACCTGCATTATAATTATTTTTAGATAATTTCTTTTTATCTTTGTGTTTAGATGAAACATCCAAAATGGCACCGGTTATTTATTTATTTATTTATTTTCAACATTTGTAAAAGATGGCTACGTCCTGATGAAGCTCTGTATGTTTTTTTGCAGAAACCTCCTTCCATTCAATTTATTTGTTTCAATTATTTTACTGCATTGTATTGTGATGGGACAATAAAGTAGGCCTATTTGATTTAATTTGTTTGTATTTCATATCACAAAAAATCTACTAAATAACCGATTTCTTTCTTGTTAAATATAGGCATAATTATATCTGTAAAAACAGCGTGGATGATTTAACACAATAGCTCCACGCCATTTTGTCCTGTGTTTGGTGTGACACGTTTAAAAGCTAAACGTGTTTAGACATAGCTTAAGAGTATTTTATAAGAAAATTTTATTTACTGAGCGATTTGTTATTGTCTACTCTTGTTTTTATTAACTCAATAAAAAAAAAATACATATTGAAGTAGGCATATTGAATACATTTAGTAAAACTTCAGACGCGGCTTGATCTATGTCTTGCCTAGTAGTCAGCAATTAATTTAAGTAAATTTCCTATTATTTAATGTGTCAACGTCTGCCAAAAATCATACATAAATATATAAAAGCGACGCATCTTAATCTAACTAAATTGTCTTCGCGTTTTGCACGATGGTGGCATCCGGGTGTTTCTCTCGGGCGTATAAGTGACGTCATAAACCTCGAACCTCTTAATTAATCTTTGTGATTATGCGGAAAATCAAAGGTATTTTCAATTTGCCAATTTCTAACGGGACGCTACAATTTATTTTGACATTATTTTTGTTTTAGTTTCACGATAAGACGACGACGTGTGAGTGTACGGAAACAAAGGCATGCAGACTTATGAATAATCTTTCCTGTCTGGACTCGGATTGTTTTTTTTTTTGCTTAGCAATAATACGTTTATTGAACAGGCCTAGATTAAGGATATCATTTTTTCCCTTTTAATAGATAGTCCTACACCTGTTAATTAGTTTATTTTGGGCGTCACGCGTTGCCCATATTCGACTGAGCAATTTAGAATCTCCAATTTAATGTAGCCCTTTTATATGCCTACAGACTTGCCTAAGTTTTTAATTTATTTTTCCTAGTACTGTACAGTATTAGTTAAATTCGGAGAGCGCCACCAGCCTCCACCTCATAAGTAAACTTTTTTTGTGTTTGATTTGAGATGTAATTTTAATGTGCTTATCTGTATTTTAATAATGTAATAATTCGTTAACTTAAAAAAAAAAAATTAGTATAACTACAGTACAACTGTACTTTTATTTATTTTTTAATGATGTTGATTTTTTTTTCTTTTAATTTAGTGGACCTTTAATACAGTACTCTATACTGTTATTCTATAGGCCTAATTGACTTTTTAACACAATTAGTTTTTTTGAGTTTTTGTGTGCCGCTGAAACAAAAGTGTATGTTCAGTTGAATAAATAATTATAAATAAAATATGTCGAGAAACATGTTATTTGGATGTGAATCCCAGAAAAAGTATTGTATGGAACGCCATGCAAATAAGTAATATGGGACGTCATTGGTGCCAAAATAGTGTTTTTAATAAGCGAATGGAAACCAGTCAAATATGCCTATGGCGACGGTGGGACTACACTAAAATCCTCCAGATTCAAGCATCAACAAGAGCAAGAAAACATAAGTTGGCCTTTGCTGGAAACATTAATAGAGATGAGTATATAGCTAGGCCTACATGAGGCACAATTATCAAAAATGAATTGATGTTCAAAATTAATGTGGAGCTGTAGTAAAGACAATTTAACTGGTAGAGGGCATAATTAGGCCTAGGCACACATAATATATCAATATTTATGTGCGTAATCACAATTTGTGTTTACAAGAATACGTAAATGAAAAGTAGGCCTATAGCCCAAAATCAGTATTCGGATTATATCAAAATTTTGATTATTTCAAAGGTAATACGAGCATGGACAAAATATATTGAAATCTCTCAATCTGGTAACCTACCAGCTTGGTTCTACGACAAATTTGGAACGATAGACTATTTAAAAAACGTCGCTCACTCAGAACGCAAATGTTTCTACTCCTGTCAGTTATGTCTACGTTAAGAATGGGCAATTAATAATACAGTAGTAAGAAATCACACTATTGTACTTATTGTCCGAACCAAAGGGCGACTAGAGCCTTGGCAGGGGTCCGAGACTAAAAAGTCCCTGGGAGGATTCACGGGGAGAGTTTTTATGGCTTAGAATGGCCCAAACTGCGCTTTAGACCACAACATTGGATTGGATTTATTCGGTGTAATCACCAAGGATAGCCCACGCAAGTCTAGAAGAAGACTTATTTCCAGTGGTCCTTCTGGTGGTGATTGGGCAGGACACCGGGAGACAATCCCCTACTCTTTTCCGAAGAGTGTACTGCGTTCTTTAAAGTGCACATGGGCCATAATACACACAGGACCAACGGCTTAAACGTCTTATCCGAAAGACGGTGCGCTATTGTAACTTGTGTTTCAGCAGAGGGCTGGAGAGGCAGCAATGGGAATTGAACCGGGGACCTAGAGATCTCCACGGTTCAGCACACACACAGTGGCTACCACTAGATTAGCCGACTGAGCAAAGCTGCTCTCTATTAGGGTTTGGCAATGAAAATAACGTTATTTGGATAGAAAAATTATTTTTGTTCTGACGACCTCGTTGTGGTGTCAGAATTCCCCTTTCCTCCACACCACCGGCCCCACCACTACCGCTGACTACACTGAAATAATGAAAGGACAACCTTTAGAATTACATTTTTTTATGGTCCATTTGAATAAAAACATACATTTTCAGAAATATATTATAATGATCATTTTGGATCAGGTGTACTACTAACACAAAATAAAACAAGAATAAGCACTCCAACTTACATTGCACACTATTTCCACTACAAAGCTTATATTGAATGATCATGCAAACCTTAATATACAGCAGCAATGCACTTTAGATATAGCCAGTAGCATACTTTCATTAAATGTTAGTGTAATAAACGCACGATTATAAACTGTATGTAATATTATGTGTATGAAACACTAGAGGGGATCATATAGGATCACAATCAAGGCAAAAAAAATTAGGTAGAACAACAAAGAAAAACTACTACAAACTACTGAAAAAAATATTAATATTATTACACTGTGGTAATATTAACAACATTACACTATATATATAGCGTACTTGTTAGAATAAACGCATCACTTGGAATAAACAACCCCTCTTGAGCCTCATAAGCAACATCATTCTCAACACATTCTATAATGTTCTACTCCAGTGGTTGGGATCTTTTGAAATCATGCTATAACATGGTAAAAGACGTGTTATAGCATGTTCAGAAAACATGCTATAACACGTTTTGAAAACATGCTATAACACATCAAAAGAAGTTATAGCATGTTTTGAAAACATGCTATAACACGGTTTGACGTTAATTATGTTGTTTTATTTCAACAATTACAGTGAAATGAAAGGGCATTTATTTGAGTGTATACGTATCCATTTTCTGGAGCAGATGCAGAATTTGGCGGTAGGTGGTGCGTGCAAAGGCGCAGATCTGTTTTGAAAGGTGGGGACATTTTGTAGAAATAGTACCTGTAGATGGTCGGAAATGACACTTTTATATAGTAAGATTAATTAGCACATCACCATTATATAGTCAAAATGAAGCGCCAACAAATTCTCATGATCTTTTATCAGCGATTTTCGGTAACCACAGAGACCTAATTAATGTGTGATGTACCATAGAAAATACAACTTAAAAACACTGTCTTTCATGTAACCCTAACCTTTAGTCCACATCCATCACGGCCCCACTATGTTGGGGCTGAAGTGATAAAATTTGCCAAAACAGTACCTGTAGATTGCCGGATATGACACTCTTATACTAAAATTCATCAACGATCTAATTAATAGCTGGATGTATACTATAGAAAATAAAACTTAATTGTCTTTGATGTATTTACTTTACTTCACCTACTTCATGTGCCGAAAACCAATCTTATCTTTGCACACTTTTTCTCATACTTCTCAAAATATAATAAAGGCACGTGCACTTGAGTCATGTATTATAGGTAATTCAGATGTTTGTGAGCAGAGATACCGGTATGTTGCTATAAATACAATAAGATGTACCAGTACTCTGGGTGTGCGCTCTTTTGTTAAAACCTGGGTCATTTATGCAGTTTTTCAACAATTTTCAGGCATCTTATTATTATTATTATTCTTTCTTTAGGCGCACAACACATGTGCCAAGGATTGCCAATAGCGAATATATATCACTGTCCTACTTGTAGGTGACAATCCCTTACACAAGACAAACATACACACACGATGCTTTACACAAACTAAATCTCAATATGAGATTTAGGGAGTGGAGTTGTTTATGTCGTGAGAAAAAATCCTGCAACTGGCAGGAATTGAACAGTCTCAACAGGGAACAGGGAAATTGCAGTCTCATACCTTCAAAATCATACCAATAATTCATGTCAACAATTATTTTTCTTAATACAATTTAGGGGGTGCGATCGCACTGTCTGCATCCACCCGAGATTTTAGACCAAAAAAATAAACGCTTCCTTCAAATAAACGTTCACCTGGAATAATCATTCCCTCAAACACTCTTCTCGACAATAAACACCCAGGGGCATTTATTCTAATAACTACGGTATTCAAATTATTATAATTACTATTATAATAATATAATCATTTTGATTATTTACAAAATATTACATTAATCTGAAAGGCCACTAATATAATATTAAATGATAAACGTAAGTAAATTAATTAAGCTAACTGAGGATGATGTTGACTAAACCATTACATTATAATCATCACTAATTTTGGTATACAATTGCGCTGTAAATTATTGGAATCACACGATTATAATCTTTTAAAAGTGATGGTGATACTGAGAATTAATATTGATAATGATGATGGTAATGGTTGCCGTGTTGATGATGATTCTGCTGATAATAATGATGAAACTGATGACAGCACATGATACTACTGATGACGATGCCGATGGTGGTGGTAGTAGTGATAATGATGATGATGATAATAAGGATGAATACAAAGACAATAGCAATTGTTATGGTTGTGGTAAAGGTGATGATGATGGTGGTGGTGATGATTAAAGACCTAAATGACAGCACATGATACTACTGATGACGATGCCGATGGTGGTGGTAGTGGTGATTATGATGATGATGATGGTAACGGTGATACAAATAATTTGGCAGATGCTACTGTTTGTAAGAAAGGTGGTGACAATGAAAAGATCAAGTACACATTTTCGAGGTAAAAATAACAAAAGGAATGATATAAGCTTACAATGAACTATAAACAGTACAGTAGTTACTAACAAAAAGCAAAAAAAATATTAATTTTCCTAAAAATGTTATGAGAAAATCTTTCTATCCTTATTTTGAAGTATATATTTTTAAACAATAACAATACCAATAATAATTCATCAGGCTGTTCACTCACTGTGTGAAGCCATTTTGCACCTTTTCTGTCCATTGCCGCTCTCAGCCCAGTTCACATGTATGTGATGATGTCATCCCTTGACCGTTTCTTTATTGTCTTCCTGTCCTCCTTTTTCTGGTTCATCATTGCCAGATCTCTTAGTCCATCTTCTGTTTGTGAAATGTGTCCTGCCCATCTTCACTTCATTTCTTAAATGTTCTCCATAACATTTTCCTTATTTTGGTGTGTCTTACCTGATCGAGTAGTGAGCGATGTAGCATTTTCCCTTCCATGGCTCTTTGGGTTGATCAATTTCTGTTTCGTGCATTCCAATAACAATAGGCTTCAACCTTCTTCAGATTATTACCTAAACGCAATTGGAAAATCCCAATGGAACATATTCTCAGATCCCTAGGGAGTACAGTACTCCGTAATTGCTGTTGTACACAGATTATTTGGGGATACTGCACAAATGGGCAAGTGCGGCCGCGGACCACATGCGGTCCAACATCGATTTATTTTGCGGCCCGCAAAAATGAATAAAAAATCCTATGTGTGCGGCCCGCCCAGCAACATTCGCTAGAAAACACCTTGTTTTTTACGGCCTGACAACAATCATATGTAAAAAAGCAACATTAAAACTGAGAATAAAGTGGTGTAAAAGCAGTGCTTGGAGGATTTTCAAAGGTCAATGGAAACATCAAAGTTTGGGTGCAGCCCTCTGTGTTAAACCACATATTAACTTTGGCCCTCCAACTGATTTTTATGCCCACTCCTGGGTTACTGTATACCTTCTCTACACCGGTAATGAAAAATATACAAATTTTAAAATATGAATAATCACAATAACAGATATAAGAAATATATAGAAATGAATTTCTTTACTTCCCCTAATAATTTTGATATTAACAATGGCAAAATAGATACAGTAATAAAATTAATCCAATCCAAACATACAACTTAAATAAGTGCCTTATACTGTGTCTCTATAAACTTCCAATATGAATAGCAAAAATAAAATTAACAGTCAAAATTATAATAGAATAAATCACAGATTAAAATGAAAGGATTATCTATTTTGAAACCATTTTAGTTGAGTAATTAAAGTAACCAATTGTTCCTCAAGATCGTTCAAACAGAACAAGTCATTCACAAGAACAATCAAGTAACCTTGACCTAGTTATCAGATCATTAACTAGTTTATCAAAATTCACTGTGATCTGGCTAATTTAGCTGCTTATCATTAACTAGTTTAATGTTAATCTTGATCCAGATGAGAACAGGATTAACTTAATAATCTAACTGATGATGATATAGGAATTAGAAGTATAGTGTGGCATGGTTATATTTAGGTAACTTTAGCAATACTCTAGTATAAAAAAGTTACTGTGATCTGGTTAATTTAGCTGTTTTGTGATCATTAACGAGTTTTAATGTTAATCTTGATTCAGATGAAATCAGAAAAACAAGATTAACTGGATAATCTAATTAATGATGCAGGAAATAGAAGTATAGTGTTATACAGTAGTATCCTCTTGAATACTCCACTTGGAAGTCTGGCAAAGAGGCTTTGGGTAGTGGCTTAGAGATAATCTAATTGAATTTATTGCAAAATTAGAAATAATCTATTATACATTATAGATAAAGTTTACAATATACATCTCCTTCTACCAGTTACTATTTTTAAAAAATAGCACAAGAGATTACATTTTGTCAAATCTCTAAAGCAATCTCTGAGATTTAAATATCTGATTAATCTTACAACATAATAATACATAATTTCTATTTCATCATTCTTGCGATATATTTTTCAGTACATACTTAACTGTGTATGCAAATGCTGCAAAACCTACAATCACAAGAACATTAGCCAGAGCACCTCCCACAATGCCTTGGGGGTCCTGGTTGTTAATCTGTGGCTGCCCCATTGCATTGTTGGATGTGTTGTTTATCGTTCGACCTGAGGTCACCGATGACTGCATACTAGCTGCAAGCTCCTCTTCTCTTCTTTTTAATTCATTTTTAATTTCCTACAAACACAAAGTAATGAAACAAATTAAAATTCTGTTAATGAATATAATGTAAGCAGTGGCTAGTTACACCAGTCTTTAGCGAATTCCCAACTCTAATTCAATCCAATCGATACACAGAAAAACATCCAATTACAGTTAGGAATTTAAGACTGGTGTAACAATAGCCACTGCTATGATGTGTAATGAAATATTTTATAATCATGCTTGATTTAATGAAATACAATGTTTAGTAGTACATTTTGTAAAGAATAAATAATTTTAGAAAAATAATGTACTTTTGTCATTTATTTATTCATTTTTCTTTTTTGTATTATTATTAAATTTTCTTTGTCCAACTTGAAAAAAAGCACAACTTTTTGATGACAGATTTTTCCTGTCCTGGCATCTCTGGAACTGTCAATAAAGTTGTGTTTTTGTTGTTCCTTATTCTTAAATTCTTTAGAATTAGTGAGTTTTTTAAAACCATATTTATAGAGGGCGACACTTACAGTACCCTAGCTCGGCTGATATTCAAGGGCCCTCTTAAATAAATGAAATAACATGATCCCTTTGTCAGTGAAGTCTCTTTCTAATTGAGCGACCCGGCATTAGAAAGCAAGCATCTTAACCAATAAGCTTTTCAACTCCACTCCAATGGTTGACGTATGTTTTTCTATTTTTTTTAAATTGTAAACAAGTAAATTTTTGAATTGTATATTATATATCTGATAGCTGATAGATTGTGTTTATTTATGATAGATTACTTAAATTTTGTTGCAAGTGTGTCCTGGTTCTGAAGAAGCGTGTCACATTTATAACCTAAAGACTGCATAATGTACTTGTACAAGTTTTATGAGCATGTTTTTAATGATTATGAACAGTACATACTTGGGATATCGCTGGAAAGATTTCACAAAAAACTTTATTTTTGACATTGAAGGCACCGCTTTGAGCAGAGAGCTGACGTTTCTGAAAAAAAAAATCCCAAAATTAAAGTTGATATTGTTGGTACTTTGATGTAATCATGTAAAATCTAAAAAAATTGTGTTGATAGCAAGGCTAACCTGCTTTTTAGGGAAAGCAGAACATAGTGAACTTTTTTTGCCGCCTAAATTCAGCACAGCTATGAAAAATACCCTAGGTATAAAGGTAAAGGTAGGAGATAACCTATGAGTTGCAACTTTACTAGACTAAATTGCGCATAGGCGTAATTCAACAACTTTCTTCTCCCCTAAGGGTTGCATCACATCTGTCAAGAGGCACACTTTCGTCTGTCCACAATGACAGTAACTCATACTCTTCTTGAAGAACTTACTTGGTTTTTAAAAGTGCATAGGAAAGCATGCAGTTCGAACCAGCGAGCAGGTTGCGGCATCCCTGCCTCAAACTCTCGACCATTCAACTCGTCCGCTCTCCTCGTTTAAGGAACTAAACCAGTGGCAAATCCAAGAATTGGAAATAGATGTGGAAAAGGGAGTGAGTTTTAAAGACGAAAGGTACAGACCACCTCAGCCACACCATGGTTGCAGGTGAGGCACAAAATATTATCGCTATGGCTGGAAGTGGCACTCTGATAAATTTTCCCCAATTATGTTTTTTAAACTTCAAAAATTTAGAAGGCTGGCTAGTTCCTCTTACAACTGGTCTGGCAGGAAATGAACCCAAGTCCCTGGAAATTTATCATTTCAACCACTAAAGTACAGCTCTAAACTATATGGCATGTGCTTGCACCTGGCATGAAACTGTGCTCGCATCAGGCGTTTCTGACTAGCTTTGAGCCACTTGATTCACTAATCAACCTGGCTATAATTGTGTTATGCCCGTCAACACTGAAATAACTTTTTTAGGCTTGTCGGTGTGAGGTTATGGCTTACTGTGTAGTCTGAGGTTTCAATGCTGCCTAGTGTCGGATTTGTTTCAACCATGAAGCTGAGAAGACCTGTAAGAATCGTTGACACAGACCAGGCTGGGTTCCAGGTGTCCGGATGGAAATCACTGATGGATAGACAGAGTCTGGAAAAAAGCAACAGGACAAAAATTATTGCAAAATATATAAGCACCCTAGTCAAATTTGATTTTTTTTTTTTTAGTCAAACCAACCACATAGCCAATTTGACTGAAAAACAATTCAAAGCCCTGTCGAGGCTATCAAACTTTATTTGACAAAAACATGCAACATACCTATATATGGTCATATAGGTATCACATCGTTACTATATATAAGCACATCATTACTATATATAGGCACATCATGACTATATATGGACATACATATTTTTTGTCAAAGAAAATTTGGACAAAGCTTAATAAAAACAGCCTGCATAACATTTTCCTTGGTCACACCACTCAACGTCACGCAGTAATTGTAAAGCCGACGGTTGATGGCCCGCATGCTTCTATGGAGAATGTATTTATACCGACGCCAACGACGTATTGCAATCGCAACCTCATGACATCACTCTTCGAGGTAAACAAATCATGGTTGCAGGTAAAAGTGTAATTTTCCAGTAAAATCCCAAGTCTTGTACAATGCAACATCAAGAAATGATCTTTTAAATATGCAAGACCTACGGTTTGAATATAATTGAGGTCCAATGTTGTAGCATATGCCATGGTGGAGGAGGTTTTTGACTATTATATAATTATAGGTATTCCTCTAATTAAAGACTCCTCCAATTTAAGACCACTTTTCTGTGCTCCCAATGTAACAAATGTCTGTTATCTCTGTTACACTAATTAGAGGCCAAAGCTACTAAAGACAATGGCAAGCCTGGTCCCAAAAGTGGTCTTTAATTGGAGGGAGACCTGTACTAATAATTACCTGGTATTACACTTAAATCTGCCGTTTGGTGTTATCATATAGATGCTTGGGGGTTTAAATGGAAATTCCTTGGGAAACATCAATTTTCCATGATAGAATCCACCTTCATAGGGTGTGTTCTCTGGACCTAAAACCACATAGTGCCTGGAAAATATATAAATACAAAATTGTATACATTATAACAATGTAAATACTCAATTTGATTCATAATGTATATCTTGATATACTTCTGTGTTGCTCTAAAAAGCTTGAAAAATACAATTTAAGAATTTATTAAAGAACATTTTGAAAAATCTCTACATGAATTGTTGAATACACAGAAACACTCTAAAATCCTGTCCAAACTAACAATTTGATTTAACAAAAACATGTATATGGTCGTGATGACATCACATCATGACCATATATGAGCACATCATGATATATGGGCATACAACAGTTTATAATTTCATAATCTGGACCAAGATTTAAACCATAAATTCTTTGGATTCACTAGTAGAAAGATTTCTAACACTGCAAAATGTAAATCAGTAGGCTATAAATCTGTTTTATATTGTTGGATCTTATTTGAAACAATAGACACATTCTACTAGGTTGGTCATGTGATGTATAGTGGGTATCAATTGTAAACAGGCAGCGCTAGTGACGCTAGATAATAGAAAAATGCATGGTTTATTAGGATTGTTTTTGCTGTAGAGCACATATTTGATGTTAAATAATGATGGTTGGAATGCCAGTAACTATACCAAATTGACTGGAAATTGAGAGTTTGATATGGTCTGCTGCAGAAATGTCTCTGTTGAGAAATTTAATTTTGAGTTAGAAGGTCCAAAAAGTTTACGTTTATCAAAAGCTGTTTTTCTTGACACGTGAAAAAGTAAACTTTTTGTCGCATTCTGTTTCCTCTTTGATTTTTGGTATTAAAAATTCTAATTTGTGGTACTGTTAATTTTCAAAAGAAGTTAATAAATGAGGTTTCACAAAATGAAATTATTCTTTAAGTTGTTGGTACAAATGAGGAGGATTCTCAAAATGAGGATAACACTGTGTTGTCGGACGCTACTACTAATGTCACTTTTTTGGACAGTTCTGTGCAACCTTTAACTATTACAATGATTTAAGTTCTGATTTCTTGTCAAGTATTAAAATTCTTTATACAAATGCACAGAATGTTGTTAATAAAATTGATGAGCTGGGGGACCTTATTTCAGACAGGAAGCCGAATTTAATTGTTTTAACCGAGTCAGGGACAAATGAAAATATTAGTGATTCATTCTTGAGCTTAAAATGTTTTTGGCCTCCCTTTAGATAAGATCGTCACGATACTAGGGACGGCAGAGGTGGTGATGTATTGGTGTATATTAGGGAATCTCTAGTTGCCTATGAGTTAAAGGATTTTTCAAACTGTGGTTCTGTTTGGGTCAAGATCAAACTGAAAGAAAATAAGAGAGCTATTATAGGCAGTGTTTATCATTCACCCAAAATAATTCAAAAATGTTTATTCCACTCAAGAAAACCGTTGCTTTCCTTTGAATATCACTGGGGATTTTAATTACCCTGGAATTGATTGGGAGCTCCTTGAAGCGGACCTTGAAGGTAGAGATTTTAGCTCCGATAGAAGCTCTAGAAACACCTCTGATGAGGAGCTCTAGAGATACTCGGCTGATTGATTAATAGATATTTTTAGCTCTACTGCCTCTATTATACTGCCCTCATGAGGTTGAATGATTAATGGTTGATTGATTTTAATAGATCTTTTTTAGCTCTACTGGACTGCCTCTATTATACTGCCCTCATGAGCAGCTCTAGAAACACTCCGCTGATTGATTAATAGATCTTTTTAGCTCTACTGCCCCTATTATACTGCCCTCATTGGAGCTTTTAAGATTATGCGAACTTGTTTAGACTTTGTTCAAGCAGCAAGTAAATTTTCATACTCGCTGTGGTAACATCTTAAACTTATTTTTAACCAATGAGGAGAATATGATTTCAAACTTGAAGGTTGTTTGAAAACTTGGTTCAAGTGATCATGAGATTATTGAATGTGACTTTTGTATTGAGGCATTTAATCAAAGATACAGTAGTGTATGTTTCCAACTATGGAAAGGCTAATTGGTGTGATCTCTCAGCTAGCCACTGTATGCTAGTCAAGTTTATTTACGTTTTTTATGTTATTGCTTTTTTGGTGTTGTTGTTTTTGTAACTTTTGTACTTTTATTTTTGTAGTTTATAATTATAATTGATTTTTGACCTGCTCGAATATTTTATGTACCTGGTGTATTTTTGTGTGTGTGTATGTATGTAATTGTTAGAGTTGTCTAGTATTCATGTGCAATTTTTATATTTTTGATATATATTTGAACTGCAATTGATATTTTTGATTTTGAATTCTATTCAATTTGTTAAAAGTGGTAATGAAGCCGTGTTAGTCTAAACAATATACAAAGAAAATTAAAGGGCAGCACTAACTTAGATGTTAGATATTCAACACAAGCTTTCACTGGCAGTCAATGGTGTGTGAAGTAAAAAATTGAAAACAAAATAAAAAAGAGCTTATGCATACATAATTAGCAATAGTCTCACTATCGGATAAAATGTAGTATACAATGATCAGAGATAACAAGTGTAATCAAGCAACTTACTATTCTACTAATAAACAGAGCTAGGCAGATAAACTATCTATGCAGTCATGGAGCTAATTATGAACAATGGAGTCAATTTGTTGTAAATGAAATTTTTCGTAATAATAACTTTAATTTTAATTAATATTTAAAAAATTTCATATATAATATTTAAATTATGTAATGAGTAGTTGAGTTACAATTTCTTTGCTTTTTGTAATTTGATGTTTGTTGGTGTTGACGTGTTTAAGCCAGATTCAAGGAACATTTCTGTTTATGTATATCTATATGTGAATAGATCAATAAAGCTTATCTTATCTTATCTTATTATCTTATCTTATCTTATTCATTTGAGTATGATTGGTCTGGAGTTAAAAAATTAAAAAAAATCAGTTTCTGAAGCTCAGGACAAATTCAGTAGAGTGACTGATAACGCTAACAGTGAATATATGCCCATGAGATTGCGTAGAAAGAAAATTAAATGACCTTATATTTATAGGAAATCAGTAAGATTGCCACGGAAAAAGAGGAAATTGTACATTCTGTAATTCTAAAGAACATACTGACTATGTTAATTATGCAATGTGCACAAAACATGCCAAGTCTGAGATTGAAAAAGCTAAGAGGAACTATGAAAAGAAACATGCAATGAACTGTAAGTTGGATCCCAAATCATTTTATGCATTAGGTTAAAAAGAACAATAATAAATAAACAATAGCAGTGCCTTTCCTTGCCATTTATTTCTCATGTTAATGGTGGGCGGTTCTTTTTGAAACCATAAAATTACCCTTTCCTATACTTTAACACTGATTGCACTTCAAATTATCCACAGTAATTCCCACTCTGCCACATGACAATTGTCTATTTCCAACTAAACAAAAACAAACTGAATTTACAAGATTTCCCAGATGTCAACCGTAGCACATAATATATACATCACACAGTTATAAATTATGTAAATTGTGAAAATTAGTTGCTATTATGAATAACAAAAATTTGAAATAAATTTCAAACACAAATAAATGGCAAAAAACACTGTATAAATTAATTTCTTTAAAAATTGCACTACTGTACTAGTATTACAGTATTTCTAAACAAAGACATACCATTCTAACATATTTGATGGCAGGGGAGCTGCGGTGATGTAAGGAACTGGGTCTTTAATGATGCGTGCATAGTCTTGCATGAGACGAGCAGTCGCTGTGGTCTGTTGTCTTCTGCTCATAGTACGATTTTCCTACCATACAGTAATGAATCTTGACACTTTCAACGGTATGGTGAAAATAATGACTACCTGCAAAAATAAATTAAAAATTGTAAAAATTAAATAGCTAGGCAAGACTTGTCAGTAGAGATCTATCCTAATAGACGAGTCTATTTTTATACCCTGTTTAGCAAACCCACTGCCCGCCAATAATGATGATTCTGAATAAACATAAAATTTTATATTTGGCCAATTAGCACACCCGCCGAAAAAAAGAAAATTTTTTCTTTATTCTTATTAAGCTTGTCGTTGCCTTGAAATCTCCAAGCCCTTTGACTTCCATTCTTCCCATTCCTGAAATAAAACATTTCTCCCATTGTACTGACTTCCGTGAGAGAGTTAATAATAAAAAAAATAAAACCATGTAATGTAAATATTAATAATTTGCCGGAGATGTGTTATTTTCGGGAAATTCATGTTTGCTTGCGGGAGGCCGTCCCAAATTCCAGGAGATTCTTGGGACTTCCAGGAGACTTGGGATCCCTGTTTTTTCATCTTTATTTCACTAGGTCAAAAAAATGTTTAATTTTTCAACCATATCTAGTGGGTGTAGTTAGTCTTTTAAAAACATTTTCCAGAGAAAAATAATGTGATACGTCTCTCAGTTGAGGAGTTACGAATTTTCAAATAACATGTCGTCAAGAATTTAGACTCAAAGCTTATCTTATTTTTGTTGGTCATGCACCACTGACTTGGGTTGTTTGTCATCACTTCAACATGTCTACCAATTCCTGGAAAACGTGTATTCATTTCAAGCTACCTAGGCATTACACACATCATCATCAATACAATATGACAATATTACTTGTCACATTCATAGCTAAGGAAGGCCCATAAAAAAAATTATTAGTTCATGACCCTATCAAAAAATAAAAACTGATGAGGGAGGGAGGTATTTTTCTTCTTTTTTTTTTTTTGCTAACCTCGCCCCCATTTTACCGATGTTCGTAACGGCAAGTAAATCAATGGTGAAGGACAAATATATATAAAAGGTCATAAGAGTAGAATCAAATTTGTATTTAAAAAAAAAAAAAAATGTTTTTGTTGTACCAGAAAAACATATTTGCAAGAAATCCTGAGATTTTCAAGTGAAGAAAGATGGAAAAACGACCGTTTGAAGTAAAAATCTGTTGAAAAAAAAAAAAAAAAAAAAATCGGAATTTCCCCAAAATTGATGAGTGAGGTGGTGATATGATAAACTTAAATAATTATTTTATGGGTTGGGGCCTAAGCAAGCACTGGGCACTAGACAGGTCTACCAAAGAGTAGCCTTTTTTAGGCCTAGCCTAATCCCAATAATATGCCTAAGCTTAGCTAGGCCCTAAATGCATTCCGATTCGGTCTAGGCCAAGAGAGGCCTAGCTAGGCTAAGCCCACAGCAAAAAATTACAAGGAAGTACTAAGTAGGGCCTAGCTCGGACCAAGGTTATCATTCGAACTATTATTATGTTATTACGCATAGCCTTTCTCACTCTTGAAAATCTAATACAGTAATACCTACAGTCGATAGGTCAATATATAATTGACGACCAAGTCAGCACGATCAGTTGTGAAACACTATTTAGCGAACAAATTCAACATAACTTACTCCCGTGCATCACCACCGTAGGCCCAGTCCTTCAACAATCAACGATCCCGTCAATTTACTATTGCGTCACAAGTGCGTTTAGTTAAAAAGGATGAGACGCGAAAACTCCTGATACAGTTCCGCGTAAAGGCAAAAAAACTTTCGGTACATAGATCATGTAAAAGGGCGTCCCCAGCATTGGGTTGTCCGTCATAATAATTTACCTAAGATTGAGTAGACCTAATAATAAAACAGAAATAAACTTGCATCAATAATTTTCGAGTCAAGTCAGTTCTATAGGTTTACTTGATATTTGAATCATTAGACGAGACCTTTTTATTCCTTGTTTCTCCGCATACATATTTCAGGGAGTTGTTATTATTTTTTTTTAAGATTTTTGGTGGAGGGCGGAATAAAAATAAATATACAATTTTGTTTTCTTATTTAGCAAACAGTATCGCCAAATAAAATTTTATTTTCTTATTTAGCAAACAGTATTGCCAAAATGGCATCCAAACGGAGGAGAAAATAAAAATAAAATTTTATTGGCGAATGTAAAATAGGATGGTTAATGAATGCTTCAAATTTAGGAAGAAATATATATATCTTATATTTGGAGATTTCAAGACAGCGGAGGGCGTAATAAAAGTAAATAAAAAGTAAATAAAAAAACTTCATTTTTTTCTGAAATTTCTACTTTTTCTTGGTGGCGGGTGCGCTAACTGGCCAAAAATTATTTTTTTTTAAATTCAAAATCATCAATATTCAGTCGGCGGGTTCGCTAAAAAAGGTATAAAAAAACGTCTTGCCTTAAAAAACTTATTCCAACTTGTTATCAGATTCAATAATACAGTATATTTTTAGTGTCGTATATACTATTACACAAATTCAATTAAATTCTGTAGTAAAAATATATAATGTTAATTTATATACTGTATATTGTCTATCATTACCGCCAGATGGTTTGAGTAGATGATATCCGATCATCTAGAGCAGTGGCGTATCTACGGGGTGCACTGCCCCCTTCAAGTATTACTCTGTATCTCCTAAAAATCACCTAAAATCACCTTATTTTGCGAGTTAGCACCCCTCACGATCCCCCTACTTCACCTTCCCTCAACCCCAACCCAACCGGCACCCCATATTTCAAGACAGATACGCCACTAGAGGTACCATTTCCTCAAATTTTCGCACCTCAGTCCATCATGGTGGGGTTGAGGTAGGTGTGGACTCATGAAATGTCCCTCCGACCTTCAAAACAGATCTGCGCCCTTGGGAGCACATGAAAACAGAATTTGAGGGGGTGCTTATGGATAGAGATGAAGAAAACTGAGGGGGTTATTATGGGAACTGGGATATTTCAAGGGGCGATTTTTGAATGAAAAAAAAGATGATCATTCAGGGGCGGGATTGGGGGGGGGGGGGGGCGCCCCCCCCCCCCTTTGGGTAAAAGTAAAAAGAAAGAAAAAAAGAAAGAAAAAGAAAAAAAAACGATAGCCCAGAACGCCTCAAGTGTTATTTTCGGGCGTCTAGAACAGAAAAATGACCCCCTAGGACATTGTTGTCTCGATCGGCCCAAATTTCGCCCCCCCCCCCTTTTTTGGACATCTCTGGAAAGTTGGGCCGATTGAGACAACACTGTCGTAGGGGGTCCGGGGGCATTCCCCCGTGAAATTTTTGTGTTCTAGACGCCCGAACATAACATTTGAGACATTCTGGGTTATTATTTTTTTCTTTTTCCCTCTTTTTTTAATTTTTTAATTTTTTTACTTCCCAAAAGGGGGGGCCAGCCCCCTTAAATCCGCCCCTGCTATTCATGGACATGGCCATTTGCAGGATCATTGCATTAAATGCCATTTTATCAATTTTGCTTTCTAGAAACAGGAAAAATGATATCCCCATATTTTCTAACCACCTCACTCACACAGACATCATAGACGGAACGTTCGCGACGAAGGGTGTTACATCATTCACTTGAAGTTAAGGTTTTTTAAATGCAGTGTTTTGTTGAGGGTTAAAAATATTCAAACGCTACACATAATGTGCGTCGTAAAAATTTAAAAAGATTAAGTACTCAAACTTACATTTAGGCCTATATCGTCATCGTAATCATGAACGTGGATAGATGCAGTAACAAGAGATGTTGATAGTCGGACCTAAAGCAGTATCTTTGAATTGTTAGAACCAGCTGTCTACCGGTGGCGTATCTAGGAGAAGGCGCAGGGGAGCACACCCACCAAAATACTTACCGCCCAGTGTCCACCCCCCTCCCCCCCCACATTTAGGATGTTTTAAGCAAAAAAATATCACCTTATTTTGTGCACTAGCACCCGCTAAGTAATCATTAACACATCTCTGGAAAGTTGGGCCGATTGAGACAACACTGTCGTAGGGGGTCCGGGGGCATTCCCCCGTGAAATTTTTGTGTTCTAGACGCCCGAACATAACATTTGAGACATTCTGGGTTATTATTTTTTTCTTTTTCCCTCTTTTTTTAATTTTTTAATTTTTTTACTTCCCAAAAGGGGGGGCCAGCCCCCTTAAATCCGCCCCTGCTATTCATGGACATGGCCATTTGCAGGATCATTGCATTAAATGCCATTTTATCAATTTTGCTTTCTAGAAACAGGAAAAATGATATCCCCATATTTTCTAACCACCTCACTCACACAGACATCATAGACGGAACGTTCGCGACGAAGTGTGTTACATCATTCACTTGAAGTTAAGGTTTTTAAATGCAGTGTTTTGTTGAGGGTTAAAAATATTCAAACGCTACACATGATGTGCGTCGTAAAAATTTAAAAAGATTAAGTACTCAAACTTACATTTAGGCCTATATCGTCATCGTAATCATGAACGTGGATAGATGCAGTTACAAGAGATGCTGATAGTCGGACTTAAAGCAGTATCTTTAAATTGTTGAAACCAGCTGTCTACCGGTGGCGTATCTAGGAGAAGGCGCAGGGGAGCACACCCACCAAAATACTTACCGCCCAGTGTCCACCCCCCCCCCCCCACATTTAGAATGTTTTAAGCAAAGTTAGCAAATGTACGTAGGCCTAAGATTCATTGTTTTGATTTTCATCAGCAAGTAATTTGACTGTGAAAACACATACTCTGCTAATAGGCCTATGCCTAATAATTATACCTGTCTCTTATACACATCTAGATGTGTATAAGAGACAGTTTCAAGACTAATAGATACACCATTGTCTACAATGAAATAATGAAAAGACAACTTTACAATTACTTTTTTTTTGGTCTATTTGACTAAAAAAAAACATACACTTTCTGAAATACATTAAATATTTTTTTGGGATCAGGTGTACTATTCCCACAAATTAAAATAAGAAAAATGCCACTAAACTTTACATTGCACACTATCTCCACTACAAAGCTTATATTGAATTGTCATGCAAACCTTAATACTGTATGCAGCAGCAATGTAGTTTAGATACAGGCAATAGCACACTTTCATTGTTAGTGCAATAAATAAACGTACACACCTATTTTTCTCAAAATTTACGTGTATGGAACGCTAGTGAGGATCAAATAGGATAACACAATCACAGTGAAAAACTGGTAAAACAACAAAGAAAGTAATGAAATAAAATACAGGTGTCCCTCTGATTAAAGACCACCTCCAATTAAATAAACACCACTTTTCTGTGGTCCCAAAGTCAAAAATGTCTTTTATCTTTAATATTCTAATTAGAGACTAAAGCTGCAAAAGACCATGGGAACCCTAGTCTCAAAAGTGGTCTTTAATTGAAGGTAGACCTGTAGTAACATCATTACACTGTAGTAATATTAATATTATTACAAAATAGATATACTTAAATAACATAATATAATCATTTGGACTATTTACAAAATATTACATTAGCGTGAAAGGCCACTATATAAAATATTAAATGACAAACGGAAGTAAACTAAAAATAAATGACGTTGACTAAATCATGACATAATTAATTTTTTATTAGTAAATTATCAGAATTTTTTTTTTATTTGATGGTGATGCTGAAAATTAATACAGTACTAATAATGATAATGGTGTTGGTTGCCGTGATATTGATTATGATGATGATTTTGCTGATAATAATGATGAAACTGGTGATGGCATATGATACTGATGGTGGTTTAAATGGTGATGCTGCTGCTCATGACGATGACGATGCGACGATAGTCGTTATGGTTGTGGTGATGGTGAGGATGATGATGAAGATAATGATAATGATGTTGATGACATTGATGATGATAATGATCATGAATACAAAGACGAGGATAATGGTGATGATGGTATGGTTGTGGTAATGGTGATCACGATGATGATCACGACGATGATGATGATGATGATGACAGCACTGATGATGATGATGAAGGTGATGATGGTGGTGACGGTGGTTGTGGTGGTGAAGATGATGTTGATGATGGTGGTCGTGGTGATGATGATGATGATGGTGATAGAGATAATTAGGAAGATGTTGCTCTTCATAAGGATGGTGGCGACTAGGGAGATGTTAAAATTTTACATCTCCCTGGTGGTGACAATGAAAAGACCAAGTACACATTTTAAAGATTTTAAAGTTTAAACTAATGTGGAATGATATAAGCTTACAATTAACTATAAACAGTACTAACTAACAATAAAAGTGACAAGAATATTAATATGCCTAAAAATTGTTATCAGAAAATCTGTCTACCTGATTTTGAAGTACATATTTTTAAATAATAACAATAATAGTTTGATGAAAATTCAACTATCCAGTATGTTAACATCTTAAAATTAAACACTTTATGATATGAACAATCCAGACAATCAGGACCATACAATTGTCCTGGATAAGACGGAGATCTTAACAGTAGAACCACAAGAGGCAACCTTTACTATAAATTACCAAACACGATGCTGAATAGAGATGCAGGTAGATTCACTGTGACCTGGTTAATTCAGCTGCTTATCATTAACTAGTTTAATGTTAATCTTGATCCAGATGAGAACAGGATTAACTTAATAATCTAATTGATGATGATGCAGAAATTAGTAGTTATAATTAGCAATACTGTAGTATCGCTGCCGATACAAAAAATCACTGTGATCTGGTTAATTTAGCTGCTTATCATTACCTAGTTTAGTGTTAATGTTGCTCCAAATGAGAACAGGATTAACTAGATTAACTTCATATATCTAACTGATGATGATGCAGGAATTATAAGTATAGTTTATTTTTCTTTTCTCCATGGTTGTATTCAGATAACTTATCAATACTCTACAATCATTGCCAAAAATTAACTGTGATCGTATCATTGCCAAAAATTAACTGTGATCTGGTTAACTTAGCTGCTTATTAATGTCATTAACTAGGTAGTTAAGTTTGATCGAAATGTTCAGACAGGAATTATTTATATTATCTTTACAATCATATTGGTGATTTAGAAATTAAACACAGGATTATTTAGATTAACTTAGTACAAAATGCAGTTTAATTGATCCAGTTATGCTTGCCCATCCAATGCACTTGACTAAAATTAGAATCTAATATAATAATCCTACTACAGATTTTTTACTATTTTATAAAAAGTACAAGGGTTTATATTTCATCAAATCCCTAAAATAATCTCTCTAAGATTTAAAAAAACAGATCAATCTTACAACATAATAATACATAGTTTCTATTTCATTATTCTTGGGATATATTTTTCAGTACATACTTAACTGTGTATGCAAATGCTGCAAAAACTACAATCACAAGAACATAGGCCAGAATACCACCCACAATGCCTTAGTGGTCCTGGTTGTTAATCTGTGGCTGCCCCATTGCATTGTTGGATGTGTTATTTATTGTTCAAACTGTGGTCACTAACGACTGCATACTGGCTGCAAGCTCCTCTTCTTTTCTTTTTAATTCATTTTTAATTTCCTACAAACACAGAGAGTAATGTAACAAATTAAAATTCTTATAATGAATATAACGACAGGCAGTGACTATAGTTACACCAGTCTTAAACAAATTCTTAATCTAATTCATACATACAATAGCATCCAATCACAGTTAGAAATTTGTTTAAGACTGTTGTAACAATAACCACTGAATATAATGTAATGAATATTTTAAAATCATTATATTTGACTTCATGAAATATAGTTTTTAATTGTATATAGTAGTATTAAGAATAAATACTGTACTAATGATATTTTATAATCATTTTTAGAATAATAAATGTATTTTTGTCAGTTACTTATTTTTTTGCATTTCTTTGTATTTGTTGTTAAATATTTTGTCCAAATTGTTATTCTACTTGAAAAAAAGCACAACTTTTTGATGACAGTATTTTCATTTTCACCTGACTTGCATCTCAGGAATTGTGTTGTTTTTGTTCCTGTTTATGCGGTTTAAAAAGCACAAGCGAAGTTAACTGCGTTGTTAGTGATTGACATTACTATAACAACGCGACTTCGCTCACGCTTTTGTAAACTGCATAAACAGTCGTGTCAAGTAGATGATTTGAAAAAAATCCTTAGGTTGAATCTAAATTTATTATTAAAAAGTATTGCAAGGATCATTATTTTTAACACTAATTTAAACAAATGCCAAAAGAAAATTGTCTACACTCTTGCATCACTTAGTCCCTTCAACATGGCATTGGTGGCCTCACTATTTTTTCTGCACAAGAATTGGCCGATGAGCAACCCATAGTAGAGATCAGTGCCAAATACATTTCAATTTTCTTGCAGGTCTGCCCTGGTTCCTAGAAAGTATGTATCTTTGTGACATTAAGACTGCATGATGTATATAAAGGTTTTAAGAGTATGTTTTTGATGATGATGAGCAGTACATACCCGAGATATCGCCGGAAATAGTTCACAAAATACTTTGTTTTTGACATTGAAGGCACCACTTTGAGCACAAAGCTGTCGTTTCTGAAAAAAGCCGCAAAAATTAAATTAAAATATTGTCAGTACTTTGATGTAATAATGTAAAATCTCAAAAACTACTTGTGTTGACAGCGAGTCCAACCCACCTGCTTTCTAGGGAAAGCAGAACACACTGAATTTTTGCAGTCTAAATTCAGCAATGCTATGAAAAATATCTTAGTTGTATTCCATGCTCTCCTCATTTCGGAAGCTATGGTATCAAGTGGCGAATCTAAGAATTGGAAATAGAGGGAGCACAGGGAGTGAGTTTAAAGATGCGAGATCCAGACAAACTCACCCCCACCATGGTTGGGGGTGAGGTACAAACTTTTAAGGCTATTGCCCCTCTAGATGTCTGGAAAGGGCACTCTCAGAAGTTTCCCATTTTTTAATCTTCAAAAATTTAGGAGGCCAGGTATAGACCAGGCT